GGAGTGATAAAGGGAAAGGGAAGAACGAAAGGGAAAGGAAGGGATAATAGGGGAAAGGAAGAATAAAGAGAAAAGTTTAAAAAAAGATTGTCCTTTTTTAAACTTTTAATATGCGTAATGCAATATGTGACGTTTAATTAGTGCACTATTCGACCAATGTCTAATTGTAGATTATAGTCAAATTTTTTCCTATAAATTATTTTTATAAATTTATTCACCCATTTGATAAATATTAAATTATCATTATTTAATGCTGCACATCATGATAAAAATCTTATTGATGATGTTCATTAATGTTAAATATTACATGTCTATTTAAAATAATGAATATTATAATATACATGACCTACAAAAATATACATATAATAAACATTTTTCCCATAACTTCCTGATAATAGATCTTACTTCTATAATGATCATTAGTAAAAAATATTATATTACATTGATGAATATAATTTGATCAGATTATTTTTCCATAATTGACTTTAAGAATATACTTAGGTGAAGGTATATAAATTTGGTATGACTACTGATATTTTAGACAATCATCTTTTACATCTTTTAAATGGAATCAATACCACTTTTTTATATGCATTTTTTAGGAATTTTCAAATTAGGTATCTGATTTAATTTGTTAACATTTAAAAAAACATGTTGTTATTTTTTTTTTAATGAAAAATCTTCATTTTTAATATTTTAATAATTATTTATATATATATTATATTTTTATTAAAATTAAATTGCATTTTTAGTTATAATTGCAAAATTTATTTTTTTTAATTTAATGAAAATACTATAAATATTTGTATAATTTAATATAATGATATGTTTGAAAGATTTGTATCTAATATTAAACTAAAAAACTATTTTTAAATTAAGTTTCTAATTGTTAAATTAGGAGTTTATAAATGTAAGCTATAGTACGTGAAAAAAATAATTATAATAAAAATTATATGTTAAAAATCTTTAATAATTCCTGCAATATACATCTGTTCAGCAATAATTTTACTTGATTACACAGTAAACATATTTATATAATAATCATTTTTTTGTTTACATACTATTTATGATTAGTTATGCTTTATTTATAACAATATGAATTATGGAATTTTATGCAATATTATACAAAGGTAGCTACATTATGGGAAAATGGTCTCTATCCTATAAAAAATTTGTGGACCATACTGAAAAGGTATGTAAAAAGACAGGTTAATAAGCTGATAGTAAAAAAAAAAATTAATTACATTAGATATTTTCCAGAATATAATTTGAAAAGAATGGAAAAGAATTGAACTGGAAATTTTTATTAATTTAATTAAAAGTATGTCATTAAGATTATAGCAAATAATTAAGGGTAATGGTAATAAGATAAATTATTAATTAAGCTTAGTCAAATTTTTTCACAGTGTAATAAAGCATATATGTTTAAATTTTTATAAATGTTCAATAAATATTTGTTACATAATGAACAAAAATATTATTATAATTATTTTTTTCATGCACTGTATATATAATATATACTTTGAATTGATTTTATTTTTATTTTTATCTTAACATAAAAGCAAAATACTATATAAGTACTATATACTTCCAAAATTAAGCACCTCCTTTTGACCGTAATGCTAGCCAGGAACAGCATAACGTAGGCTAAAATTAAAATTTTCATAATCCTGGCCAGGTGCTTATTTTCGGGAATACTTAATATCAGAAGTACAGTAGGCGATCAAAAGTATACAGACATTTTGATTTGCCAAAATTATGCCGATCATTACACAATGACATAATATAAACAATACGTCATTTAACGCTTAATATCATAATAAAAAACACCACAGTGTTTTTTTTTTAGTAAACATTCACCAAATATGAGGCCACTCACCCCAAAACCCGATATGCAATTATTTATGGTTATAATTGTGGTCAATCGGGTCGTATGATTGCAGAAAAATTGGGGTGTAGTAAAACTGCCGTTTATGATATACTTAAACGTTTTTGTGAAACTGGCTCTTTCACACCAAAAAAAAAATCAGGTCGGCCGCCACTCTTTAACTCACCAACGCGACAAGAACTCAAAGCTTTTGTTCAAGAAAATGGTGAAAATCATTGACTTTGTTCAAAAAAGATTGCAACTGTTTGGACAGCTCGTAAAAAGCAACCTGCTTCTGCAAGTACCATACACCGTAACCTTAGAAAGGTTGGACTTCGTGCCTGTATTCCCTGTCGCAAACCTGCAATGACAGAAACACATCGTTAGGCTCGCCTTGAATGGGCTCTTGCTCACAGAAATTGGACAACAAGAAAATGGAGAAGTGTGTTTTTTTCTGATGAAAGCACTTTTACCCAGTTTCAACAAGGTCGTCAGGGAAAGGTTTGGCGTGAACCAGGAGAAAGATTGAATCCTGATTGTGTTGCAGTTACCGTAAAACACAGCCCTAGCAGAATGTTTTGGGGTTGTTTCTCCTGGCGTGGACTTGGACCAATTGTTCCGTTAAAAGGTTCAGTTACAGGTAAAACTCATGCTAAAATTATTCAAGATTATGTCATACCTACTTTGGATGAGCATTTTCCATGTGGTAATGGAATTTTCCAAGAGGATAATGCTCCGCCACATCATTCAAAAGTTGCTATGGCCGCCCGTGAAGATGCGAAAATTGTAGTGCTTCAATGGCCAGCACAAAGCCCCGACTTGAACCCTATTGAGAATATGTGGGCAGAAATGAAAGCAATGGTGCGTCATCGTGATCCACCACCATCTAATATTCAAATGCTTGAGAAGTATGTTAAAGATGCATGGGACGATATTCCTCCAGAATATTTTAAAAAATTAATTGACAGCATGCCGCGCAGAATTGAAGCAGTTATTGTTGCAAATGGATATAATATTAATTATTAATATATAATTTTTTTTTACATATAATTAATAAAGGACAATCAGATTAATATATTTACTTAATAATTTTTATTTTTATTATATTATTTTATTATGAAATTTTTATTTTAAAAATGTCCGTATACTTTTGATCGCCTACTGTATATGGTAGATCAATTTCTAAATTCAAATGCGAACAAGATTAGCAAATCACGTAGGGAGAAAAAAATTTGGATTTCCCACGTGAAAATAAACTGTGTACTTCACGAGAGTCAAAAATTTTTAAATTTTATATTATTTAACTCGGACCAGATTATTAATAGTTAAAAAAATTTATCAAGTCCTAAAAATAAAATCAATACTCGTTTTTTATTTATAAAATTTTTTATTTATTATGCCAATACTTTGTGTGAAGATAAAAAAATTATATACATAATTATCATGCATCATCTAAGTGCGGAAATAACAGATTGAAACTTATTAAATTATGGGGGCCAATATAACTAAGATATTACTATGTTTAAGCGAAATTTAAGAACAAAAAATTATACGACAAAGAAAACGTCAATGAGAAGAATACATGGCATCATGGCATCCGCCGAAGTCCATCTCATCGAAACCCAGAAATTTCGCCGAAGAATGTTTCACCGAAGTGCCATTTTGCCGAAATACCATTTCCCCGAATGGACATTTCCCCGAATGGCCATTTCCCCGAATGGCCATTTACCGGAATGCCATTTTGCCGAAGGACATTTCGCTGAAGCCATTTCGGAAAAAGGACATTTCGCTGAAGATATGGAATTTTTTAATTTCCTCTTCTTTTTCAGAAGACAATCGGATTATTTACACATTGTAGGTCACGTTTGTTTAATTTTTTTTTTATTAAAGAAAAATTAATTTTATTCTGTCTTACAGTAAGTTCAAAAAAGCTAACAAATTCGTCGTATTCATTCATCAATTTCCGAAATATTTTTTTTTTCTTTGTATCGAATTGTTAATGATTAAGGAAATATGTTAATCACGGCGAGGTGTCTTTCGGTGAAATATCCCTTCAGCGAAACCTTCCTTCGGCGAGATGAATTCGAAACGTACCGTAACCCCTTTTGAATTTAATTTGTCGTATTTATAATTAAAAGATAGATATTTTCGAAATAAGTGTTATAAAGATTTTTCTTTGAATCAGTCTTCATTTATTTTTGAATAAGCCTCGAAATTTAAATATCAATTTATTAATTGTTAGATTTCAAAATAGACTTTTTTTTAAAAAAGTATAAATTCAAAACACTACTACATTATAATTAATGTGACTTTTCTATTTTAACAATAAATATTATTTGTTTATTTTGTTATATCTGATACAAGCCACCAGTTATATAATTTACTTTATTGGGTTTATTTGCTTATCAATTTTTAATTCTATTTTTATAAAACAAATTTACAAATTGCTGCGCAAACAAATCAATTTACATAATATGAAATAATTGTTACGCCATTTTTAAAATTGCATTACGTTTTACTAATAATGTAACTAGTTAAGGCATAATGCTGGCTAAAATTATAAATGTAATTCTGGCTGATTAGCATTTCCGCCCTGACGATTAATACTTTTAAGTTGTTAATCCTTAATTTTCACATGATTCATAATGTAGAACCTTTAGAGACAAGAATTCAAAGATATATTAGAAATGTAGTTAAATCAATTCACATGAATTTATCTAAATATTTCGTAATAAAGCGTGTGTATAACATATATCAACAGGAATTGTGCATTATATTGATAAGCCCTTCTTATTGTTGAAAGGAATATCAATTAAAAAAAAAGTCTTCCATTAAGAGTGGATTATTGGCACATGTTTTTAACAATTATTTATCGAGCCCCCATCAGTAAAAATAAAGGTTGATTCACATGAAACCCTTTTTTAGAGGAAATAAAAATAGCTTACTTTCAATGACGTAAATGATTGCCTTTGTCACGAGATAACATTATTATAATTACTTTTATATCTATTTTGTGAAAACAAATATTATGCACATATTGCATATAATCATATAATTAAATATATCCAATATTATTTATTGTATAATGACTATTATAGTAATTATAAAAAAAAATTTAAATCTGAATTTTTCTCCTACATTTAAACAAAACCAAAACTTATTCTCTTTCTTGTTCGTAAATTCTTATAATAAAACTTTTTTTTTAAAAAAAATAATCTCGTTTTTTTTTTCTTTACTTCAAAGATGGAATTTTATAAAACATATCACTTTGACACAAAAGGTCAACGAATATCCTCTGCAGCTTACCTTCGAGAATTATTATATTCCATGTTTACTATGCTTCAGCAGACGAGAGCACCATACGTTCCTCATCCTACGCCAAAATTTTCGTCAAAACCTAACGTAAGTCAAAGAGACTCTATTGCTTTTCAAATACTTCTTACTTGGCAAGAATTTCATGAAAAACTTATACAAAGTTTGGAAAAAGAGAATATTTCTTCATGGACAAGAGAAGAATTATTAATATGGTGGAACATGACAAGGTTTCTTCACGCATGTTTAATGGAATTCGCATCTAAAAATGGGTGGGGAACTACCTTTAAATATAATGAAAACCCGGAAAATCTTTATAAACAGTATAAAAATTGTGAAAATACGTTTAGAACAGATACATATTATGCAAGTTCAATTCATCCGAGTTATAATGAATTATTTGGCGGTTTAAGTCCTTGTATCTTGGAGAATGTTAAGGGTCATTTACCAGTGATAGAGGGAAAGGTGTTATTAAATTCTCAACATGATTTTAATTATTTATTTGGCATTGAAGAAAGTTCCCTTGATAATGGAACTAAAGTATCTCAGGAGAATCTTGAAGTTGAAAAGTTAAGAAAATTAGTTAAGATGGTACAAGATCATATTCAACCACTGAAAAAGATTTTATTACGAAATTTTTCTTAATATGCATATAGACAACTACTTTCTTTTTTACATATTTTTTTTTATTATAAAAACAATTTTTTTTTTTTTTTAAAAAAAAAAAGGGAAGGAATAGACGTAATTTCACATCAATTTTTTTGGCGTAATAATGGCTAAAATTAGTTCAGTCAAATGATATGTCCGGTTAAAACATCGGCCGATGATAATCGTAATCCATATCAGTTTCCTTTTTTGTTATATTTTAATTATATACTCCGACAAAATGAACCACATAAAGAAGGATTCCCGAAAAATAGTTTTATTTCAAGAACATAACGTAATTTATAATTTATGGATTTGATCGTGGCTTCGTGGCGTAATTATTGCATACTTTCATGGACTTTATCCCAATTGTTTCCACATTGATTCCAAATAAAATTTAAACAAAGAAAAAAATTCTAACAGAAAAATATTCACTATTGTACATTAACTTTTAATTTGACAAAGAATAGTAACTTAATTACAATTGTACATTGATTCCAAATTTAACAATTTTAATTTTTAAACAAAGAATTAGGAATTGAAACGCCATATTAACTATTTTAGCAAATGTCATCATACAATAATTCCTTGTTCCACAAAAAAAAATAATAATAATTTTTATTTATTTGTTGTTTTTGGGCTTCAGCCAAGCCATCAGGAGTTATTTCTAATTGGGAAATTTGCCGTAATTAAGATGAGTCCAGATTTGCAAAGTCCAGATTTGCAAAGGGTCCATTTCCAAAAAAAAAGTCATAAATTCTTTATAATGTCCAGACCTTATTTTCCGATGCTGAGCACATAGTGCCAAGTGTGAAGGCTTTTCCCGAACTGAATGAAAAACTTTGATAATGTCAATTCCTAACTAATATTTTTTTATATTTATCAGTTTTATATGAATATGCTGTGAAATTTAAACATATGCAAATCAAAACGCAAACCCAGGAAAGTTGAAAGCATTTCAATAAAAATTATCAGAAGCAATGCATGGAACAATTCTTATTAATATCACACCGCAGGTGATTTTCACCGCATCAGCATTAGAAAATATTAATGGGCAGAGTTTCATGCCATTTTTAATTCTGCCCAAAATTCTATCCTAATTCTGGTAAGGTGATAATGATATTTAGTAACACTATTTTTTAATATTCCTTAAAAAAAAATGAATTACCATATTTACCAAAAATAAGCAAGTACCAAAAATAAGCAACTTGTAAAATTTATTGACAACCACAATATAATAAATGTAATATAATTGAAAATAAAAAAATTATGCTATTCTGACATTAAAATCAATGAAGGGAATGCCCTATTCTGTTATTAAAAGTATTATTATCCTAATTACTTTAATCATTAGTTTTATTGATTACCAATTTCTTAATTTCTAATGTTATAATCTATATTAATACTAATTTTTCACTTTTCAATTTCTGATTATAATAACCTTTATACAATTAGATGATTATAAAATAATGATTTAGTACAGCTTAATGAAAAAAAAAGTAGATTTTGAACAATATATTTGTATCCAAAAATAAGCAACTTTATAATAAAAAAAGGTTGGCAAAGATGGTAAAAATTTTTTAATAATATAAAAAGCTAAAGTAAATAAGTAATAAATTTTTTTATTAATATTTATAGAAATCATATATTGTAAAAGTATTAAAAGTATTAGGTGTTAAAAGGTACTAATAATTAATTATTCTATTAAAAAATCTAAAAAGATGATATGTAAAGCAATAAAATTTAAATTAGTAAAAAAAGAACTACTTTTATAAATAAAAATAATAGTGCAATATATAAATTGCTAATTCAGTAGCTAATCTATTTAGATAAGTTTTTTATATTTTTCATCTTTTTTATTAATTTGGCTAAAATTAAAAAAATTTTATTAAAAGTAAAATATTTAAATTTTAAAGTTTTGCTAATTTGCTTTTTGGGTTAAATAACTTAAGTTAAATTACCCTTCTAAAATTTATATTTTACATCAATAATTTTTTTTTAAAAAAAAATTATTTGTATTATTATTCATTTTACTTTGTATAGATTTTATTTATTTGAATATTATAGAATATAATGACCAAGTTATTTTACATTTTTGATAATAATAATAAATTTTTATATCTTTACATTTTTTTAATTATATAAAATCTATTAATAAGTTAAATTACCCAGATTAAATCACTCTAGGTTAAATTAATCTTATATTAAATTTATTAAATTATAAAAAAAGATATTTAATTACTTCATAAATTACTGATCACTAAAGGTAATCATTATTATATAGTAAATATTTTTTATATAAATTTATATCAAATGGGCTCATTAGTTCAAAATTAACTCAAATTTATGCAAAAAATAATTCAAATTTAAGCCAATTTAAAGCCAATTATATATGGATAAGTCTATTTAGTACAAATTTATACAAAAACTATTTATTGGATTATTAATTAGAATTATCAATTTTTACTGGCATTATATTTTTTTTAATACTGGTTAATTATTATAATTTCAGTTACTAGTAATTATCACCTTCTGGTAATAATTAAAAAATTCTTTAATTTTATTTCAATTAAAATTATCAAATGCATTTTCTTTATCAATTATATAATACTTATTATTTATTTTATCAAAATTTATATAATGATCTATATATTTTGTATCTATAAATTCTTTTAATATAAAATAGTACATAAAATATTTATGCTTATATTTATTTTTTAAAATATTTAATATTAATTGTATATAAGTTAATATATATATTTAATTATTAAATTTATATATAAAAAAATATTCTATAATTTCATATATATCTATAAATTTATAAGCAATTTTGTCTATTATATACCTTATTTAATATATATATAAAAATAATAATAATAAATTATAATAATAATAAATATTTAATTACTTATCTAAATACAATAAGTATTTTTTGATCATTTATTTATATATTATTTATTTTTATTTAATATTTTTAATCTCTTATATTTTATATTATCAAAATTAAAATTTTAAAAAATGCAATTAATTAATTAATATCATAATGAATTTAAATTAAATAATATTATTAATATTATATTTGAATCCTGTAATCACAAGATATTAAAGATACTTTACTAAAAATGGACAATTTTTTGAAATATTTATATAGACCTAAATATAGTGCTCCAAAACGAGTCGAGTTGACTCGTGAGTTGGTCGAGTCGAGTCGAGTCGAGTCGAGTTGAAAATTACAATCAAATCAAATCAAATCGATTCGAGTCGAGTTAATGATTTAATAAAATCGAGTCGAGTCGAGTTAAGCCGAATTAAACATAATTCCGGCCAAATTTATGGAATTTCCTTTTTTGGAAATTATGTTACACAAATTCCGAGACGAAAAATTTTTGAAAATTACAAAAATGGAATTTTGTGGAACGGCTATCGCCAGAAAAGGAAATGATCGGCATAGCCGAATTAAAATCACGTGATTTAATTCGACTCGACTCGATTCGGTTTGACGGGCCAACTCGACTCGAATCGAGTTGAGTTTATATTTTTATAATTTTAACTTGACTCGACTCGACTCGATTTAACTCAAGTCAAATCGAGTTTACATATAACTTGACTCAACTCAACTCGTTCGGCTTTCAAAACAATTGTGCAATTATTTTGTAAAATTTTTAAAATATATCAAGATATATTTGAGGTATTTTTGAGATTAAAATATTAAAATAATATTAAAATTAATTATATTATATTAATTATAATAATAAAATAATAACAAAAACATTAAAAAATTATTGTGATATTATTTTGAGTTATTTTTATAGACCTAGATACAATATACAGTCAACTTTCTTTATAGTCACACATTTGGGACAGTCTATATTTGGTGATTATGTGCAAACAGTCTTATGACTTTATCTTTTATTATAAATTTTAAACGAAAAGTACAATAATCAAATCGAACAATATTACAAAATATAGAAAATTAAACAAAAAATAAAAAAACTAGCTTCACGATTCATACAAGTAAAGAAATCTAAACAAAATAAAATTAAGTAAAGAAAAACTAAACTATTACAGAAACGCATACCCCATCTTTACCCGAAGGCCAGTGTGAGTCAACTATTCAGCATGTCCTAAGATCCAATCCGTTACCAAAAAGAAATCCTAAGTAGAGGCTGAACTGTTAAGC